AAGAGGATGGTGTTTGAGTGTATTTCTTCTGAGGTAAGATCAAGGGTCTTTGTTTTAGCAGTTTTCAATCTTGATATTTTATCAAAGATTATAACTCTTGTCATAAAAAGTTTTTTAATCTTGTTGATATTCAAGGAACTGTAAGATTGCAAAATTGATTCAATGCTCATAACCTTAAAAGTAACACAAATTTATTTATTGCAAACAAGAGGAAGAAATGAACAAGAACAAGTTCAAACAAGATACTGAAAATAAAAAGTACTACAGTGGTAGATAACAACTTCCACTTGTTTATTTAGCTTGCCCCATCATTCTTCTAGAATGTTCATGCCCCTGATTCCATTAAATTATGAACCTTTCACTTCAATGCCCCACAATTCTCGGTAGTATGCCTCGAGCTTCCTATTTAGTAGCTACATATGACATTAATATCATACCCTTCAGTAAATGGGGGTTCTTTTGGTTTAGACTAAACTGGAGTTACGAGATTATGTTGAACTAGTAATGGGAGCAATTCTTCATATGTCATTGGAATTTCACTGATAGGAGCCTTCTCTCGGGTCATTTTATAAAGTTTGGTCCCATGATTAGCTGAATAAGACCTCACTGTATTGATCTCGGCTTCTTTGTCGACGTCAGTACTATCAGAGTCTCTTATCATGTCATTCTTGATAGTTATTTTGATCATTTCTCCAAACATGACGATGTCAGAGAAACTTTTAGTGGCAACCTCTATCATGTAATTAATATAGGGAAATTTTAATGTACTGGTGAACAAAGTAGTGATATCCCTTTCAATCACTGTTGGATGCACTTGAGAAGCTATGTCCCTCCATCATTGTGAATATTGTCAAAAACTCTCATTGCACTGCATATTCATGTTTTGGAACATTATTCAATTAGGGGCTATATCAACCATGTGTTTGTATTGACCCAAAAAGGCTTGAGCTAAGTCTTTCCAACAACGGATTTGAGTACGTTTTAGCTGATTATACCATTTGGACGCAGATCTAGATAAACTGTCTTGAAAACAGTGGATCAATAACTTTTCATTCTCCACATAACCAGCCATTCGACGACAATACATGGTGATATGAGATGAAGGGCATGCGGTCACATTATACTTCTCAAAATCTGGAACCTTGAACTTTGGTGGGAGAACCAGATCGGGAACCAAAATTAATGCTTCGACATCAAACTGATAAAATGATTCAACCATCTCTCTAGATTTTATCACCTCTTCTATATTTTTCAGTCGTTGGGTGAATTTTTTCTTCTCAACTAATTCATTTGGGTCAAAGACCTGATTATCAGTACAAAATTCATCTGGATTCAACCCAGAAGCAGTAGGACAGTCAGTGGGGAACAAAGCTCCAGCCTGATATTGTGGGTTCTTAACAGTGAAGTGGACTACTGGTTGGATTTCCTGATGCGCAAAGGCGTGCCCATGAATGTGAACAGGTATAATACCAAGAGGATATGTGGGGTTTTCAACAAGACTCTTTCCAGCGGTCAAATGCTTCCCAAACATTTCTTCCATATTGTTCAGTAGATCGATATGAGAGTTTGCGATATTAGCTTCAATTTGTGCCAACTTGCTCCTCAATTCTTCTTGCATATCTTTATACTCTATCTTAATTTCGGCTAGCCTATCCTCAATTTCTTCAGGCATTTTTCTTGTGTTGTGCAGATGCTAATCGTTCTTGCTACAAGTAAGAACCAAGATCACTTCGATCAAAAATCCTTATTTTAATGAATGAATGTTTTAATGCATGATTTAGAAATGTATTGAGCAATACAAATGTAATGAAAACAAAATAAATTAATATAAACAAGTTAGAGAAAAATAAAATGTATCTACAAAATAGATAAAAATAAGAAAACAATAAAGATAAAATGGTTAGTACCAATTAATGGAAAGAAAAGAGCATATCTACTGGAAAGAAAAGAGCATATCTACCATGATATCTATATATAAATCCTAACCTCGTGCTTTCTAGTTCCATGCTTTGTTGGGAAAAATTAACCTAACCGCATGATTACTAGTTCGCATGCATTTATTCAGAAAAACAAATAAATTAACAGACGGAAGTTAGAGATTATTTCTCCTTTGTGTACACCTACGAATAGAATTTCAGTAATGTCTTAGATTGGGTGAATTTCTACGGTTTATTATATGCAGGGTTTCGATTCTAGTAGTAAAGGTACTCAAATTGTCCTTGTCGGTGCCCCCTCGAGAGTGCCAGACCCTCAATCCTCACCCATTATAGGCTTAAAATGATTGAGTTCAATTCGTGAGAGCACATTTCTCTATGCCTAACACGGAAAATAAATCCTCACGAAGACATAGGGTATATAAAACCCCGAAAGCTACTTGCTAGGTATGACACGAAGAATAAATTCTCACGAAGACGTCACTTTCACTCCCACTTAAAAGGGAAAAGAGCTCAAGTATAGAGCTTATGTTTATGCAATGCACGCGTTGTGTGTGAGGAGAAATTCTCAAACCTTTGACAAAGCATCACAAAAATTGAATCCTAATATCTAAAATTAAAAATATAAACATTAATATATAAGGATATAAAAATAATAAAGAATAAAAAATTGAAAGAAATCAAAAGAATTACAAATTAAATAAATCAGAATTCTCAATTTCTAATTATAGAGACAATATATAATCAACTTAGGCTTGACCAACTCCCCAATGGAGTCGCCAAGCTGTTGTAATCGGTTTTCGCCCGGGCACAAATTTTCTTCTTGGCATAAAAAGAAAGTGAATAAATAAATGGTTTTTATTGAAATGTTTTGGAGTCGCCATCTACCTTTTGGGTTAGGTAGGTCGAATACCTAAAAATCATCTTTTAAAAGAGTTTTTAAGAAAACATCATTTAAAAGATAAATCAGTCTGCCTATAACCAAAAATTCATTCTTTTTAATAGTAAAAAGATATTCGTGGTCGGTTACGTTTGGGGAAGGATTAGCACCCTCACAACGCCCAAAATTGGTGCCCGTCGATTATAAATTGTCTCTATTAGCGAAAATATAAGAATTCGAATATAAATTCAATTACGATCCTATTATTTCAGATTCAATCGGATAATTCTAAGAAAAAATATATTAAAATGATTTTTATAAAACTAATATATATATATAGGGTTTTATAAATAGGGTATTTATTTATTTAAAAATATCAGAAAAAAAAACATTTAGTTACTTTAAGACAAACCCTTTCTTAATATAAATAAATAAATAAATAATAATAAAAATATGATAATTTTTCTTAAGAAAATCATATTAAAATGATTTAAATAAAACTAAAGTAAACATATATATTTTTTATAAGTAGGGTATTTATTTAAAAATATTAGAAAAGTACATCTAGTTACTTTAAGACATCCTCTTTCTTAATATTAAAAAATAAATAAATATCATCCTTAAATATATCAAATTATACTTAAAAATATAAAATTATAGGATTAAATTAAAAAGTAATAAAATTTATGGTTGGAAATACAATTTATTTAAATTATCATGGATTAAAACATAAAATATCAAAATTGAAGATACTAATTCGAAATATCATAAAATCTAGGTGTTAATAGTGTAAGCCTTAATCAATTATTCGGGATTAAAATAAAAATTATAAAAATTTTAGGGACTAAATATGATATTTACCCTAAATACATATAAATACTGATAAGGACTAAAATATAAATAAAAAAAAATTAAAAGACCGAATCGAAATACACATAAATTGATTTTAGTGACTAAAATGGAAGGTTTACAAAGTCACGAGGACTGTGCACGTGATTTTCCCCTAAGGGAAATTACACATACACCCCTCCCCAAAACGATACCGTTCAGGGAGGGATATAAATACCCTAAAATCAGCCCTCAAAGGCCATTTTTTTCATTTTTCAATTTTTTTTTCTCTCTAAAAGAGAGAGATAAAACTGCTCTCTGCCCCCTCTCTAGGTTTCCTTCGCTGGAGGGAAACCGGTCACTAGCCTACCGCCTTGCTACGATACCGACCAACATCGCTCACGGTGGTCAAAAATTTACAAACTTACCCAAAATTACCCTCTTTTCCACCTAAACCCAAATCTAACCTTTTTTTAGTCCTAAAAACCCCTCAAAATTAATAGATCTAAGCAATAACCGAAGGTTTTACCTCGGTTTACATAGAGGTTTCCAGCGGCGTTTGGTCTCTCCGAGGGTAAGCTGCTTCATTTTCCTCTTATTTCTCGTTGTTTGCTGTCTGTGGGTTATCTTTTGCTCGTGTGTTTCGTATTCAGTTTTGATGTTTGTTGGTGGTGCTTGCTGTTTGTTGTTGCTTGTTGTGTTTCTTCTTTCTTCCTCACAGGTTTGGTGGTTGTATAGCCACCACGGTGTTCGTTTCGGACTGGATAATAGGGCTCCTTTCGGTGAGTCACGGAACTATGGTGGTGACTCACCCTAGAGCTGCAACGTGTGCGGCTGGTGTAGACCTTCTGAAGGCTTCGACGGAGGCATGGCAGCAACTGGGCGTCGGTAGTGTCTGGTTGGAACACCTGGCAGTGGAGCGGCGGCGGGATTGTCTTCGATTTAAGGCGACAGAGCTGGTTGAGATAGGGTGATGAAACCCTAGATGCATTAGGGTTTTGGGCTTCTCGAGTTTGGGCTTGGATCGGGTCTGGATCCGATCTGCTGTTGAACCAGGTCTGAATCGGGTCTGGATCAGGTTTGCTGTTGAACCGAGTCTAGACTGGGTTGGGCTTCTGGATCTGGGCCTTCGGGTTTGTTGTAGAACTTGCATGTAATAATTATTTGTAATTATTATTTTAATAATAATAAATAATAATAATAATAATAATAATAATAAAAAATAATAACTAAAAAAGGGACAAAAATTTAGTGTCTACAATTTTGATTTTGATAACTCGAATGAAAGTATGCTAAAAGTTCAATAATCATGACTGTAGTTTACCCAAATATTAATGACCTTTTAATTTTAAAAACAAACTAAAAAAGCTCTTGCTCAAATTAGTTTCATTTCCCTAAAGCAAAAAAGAAAAGCAAGACTATGATATTACCAACGACGAAAACTTTGCTTATAAATCCGTTAATTCAGTTGAAAACCCCTCTCCCTCTTAAATTTCGCCCCAAATTCGCATCAATCTCTGCTCGTCTGGACAATTCCGAGCAGCAACTGAATCTCTCTGTTCTTAGATTCACTTTGGGTATTCCTGGATTGGACGAATCCTATTTACCTAGATGGTTAGGGTACGGGTTCGGTTCCCTTCTCATATTGAACCACTTGCTCGGATCCGACTCCGTCACCGCCGCGCAGCTGGTAATTTGCCTTATCCATTCTTCATTTCAGTTTAAGCTTTTCTCGGGCATCAATTTTTTTTCATTGATGTTTTTGGTGTAGAGAACGGAGGCTTTAGGTATATCGTTGGCTGCATTTTCCGTTACACTTCCTTACCTTGGTAAATTTCTCAAGGTAATGATTTGTTTTTTCAAATTTGTTGTTCAATTTGAAATCAAGTTTAGATCTAATGTTTGTTGTTCATGATGCAGGGTGCAACTCCAATGGATCAAACGACTCTGCCTGAAGGTGCTGAGCAAATATTTGTTATGTCACAAAATGTGTCAGGTGCTCAGAAGGAGGGTTTGGCTTGGGCGACATATGTTTTATTGCGAAATACCAGCTCCACCTCCGTGGTAAAAATCCCCATTACAAAAAAGGAAAAAGAAGAGAGAATTTAATTTTGGAATTTATAGCTGCTTTTCTTTTGAGTAACTGACAATTTTGTATGTTGTGTTTTATCATTTCAAATTTTGTAGTTAATATTAGCGCAAGGTGCATTATGTATACGTGGATATTGGAATTTGCCTGATGGTGTATCCAAAGATAATGTACTTGATTGGGTTAAAAGTAATATAGAAGAAACTGGTCTCTCTGAGTTGACAGATACCCTTTACTTCCCTCAAAGTTCAGGTAAATATTTTTTGTTAGCTTGTGCGTGAAAGGGTTATAATCTTATTCAATGTGTGATATTTCAAGTGATGAATAATTTAGCTTCTAAGAACATCGTAAGACTAGGAACAAGATTGCTGATATCTGTGGCTATGCCTGGTTTCTTGTTTCATTGGACCATCATGACTAGAAGCATCTTAATGACAGTGATCCTTGCTGATAAATTCTTTATGGTGATGCTATATAATTGTGCAACATCCATGGACTAACCTTGATTCTGTAACTCTCATGCATGTTTTGGCTCTTTCTCCTAAATAATCTGTGGGTGCTTGCCTAATAAAATGAAAACGGTAACTTACAGTGATCCTGGTAACTATAACCTTTTTTTACAGCGAACATATGTTTGGTGAAGTAGGAAATAATCTAAGAGCTTTTAACTATAAATAGTCTGTTTGGGTTTTAAAATTTGAATTAGTGAGCACATGAGTGCAATCTTTTCCTTTTCAGCTATGTTCTTTAAATTCGCTCACTCTGTGTCTAATGCCTATATTTAATCATTATTTCAGATGCTGAATTCCAGAATATACTTCCTCAGGGGACCCGTTCTGTCTTGGTACAACCAATATTGGATCCAAATCCAAGCACCAATGACATGGGGAACATTGAAGGTTTTGTCCTGTTGGCTTCAAGCATGAGATATGCATATAGCGAGAAGGATAGAGCCTGGATAAGAGCAGTTTCAAACAAACTTAGAAGTAAGAACTGAAAATGTGGGTATATCTTGCCTTCATTCTGTTAATTTGCTTTATACCGTCTTTCTGAAGTCTGTTTTATTCTTCTCTCTGCTTTCTTTGCCATTTTCTGTTCTTGGGGGCCATTGTTTTTCATTTTGAAAACAGTGTCGGTATTTCTGTTTCACTTTTGACTTCATGATAAGTTTGTTTCCTTCTAAAGAGTGCCAACCTTTTCTTTAATCTCTATCTGCATGTCCTTCATGAGACAACAATTACCGTTGCTTCTGGTCACCAATAGATTGCTGGCTCCTAAATGTAATAGAAGTCTATTCTCTGATGAGTAGTTGCAGGGTCAAAATTTTTCATAATACAAAGACTTTGTGTTTGACTGTTTGTGCATTTTGATTGAATGGATCCTAATTCCATACCAAATGCCAGATGGATGAAGAATACACGTCTATGACATTCTTTAAGCTGTATTCTTAAATTATGGAAGCCCTTGCATATTGAATCCAGATGCTACAGAAATTTGAATGTAGCTTGCCAAATTGTTTGAACATGTAGTGGTACCTGTTTTTGATCTTTTGCATGTATTTAGAAGATATGCCATCTATTCCTAACGATCTCTCTTAGATTAATAATCTAAGCTTCATTTGTGAGAAACTGAAATGTCAGTTCTATCATTTTTCTTTAAGGAGCAATTTGTATTAACATTGTAGTCCAACAAAAAATCTAGACTGTAAATAAATATTATCTTTTTCATTTGAAGCCTAAAATACTTCTTTTTACTCGCACAATTAATTACTTTATATCCTTTTCTTCTCCATAATTGATGGTTCCATTGATTGAAGTTCATTACTTTCTATATGCAATCTCAAATGTAGCAATGAGATAAGGTTTATGATGGTTAAATACTCGTCTATTCATGAGCAGATAGAGACAGACTATTCATGAACTTAAGACGTTTGGAGAAAAAAGTAAAAATTAATAGAAAATCAGCTCTATATCTCTTGGTGTCATATTTCATTATGAGTCATGTCCCAGTAAATGTGGCTGGAGAACAGACGATGCAAGACTGATTACGAAACAAATATGTTGAAGTACTTTACAGCGTTCTATTCTAGAACATTCCTTTCTCCAAATTTTGTTTTTTTCAGATGAAGCAAAAGTATGGTATTAAATTAGGTGTTCAATTACTAAAATGACCCTGTACAACACAAGTTGAGCTGTTATTCTTTTCCTTAATTTTCAAGTCAGTATATGAGAAAATTGGTGTCATCTATGTATGGTACTTTGCTTAAACTGCTTTTATGCCTCAATTTTGAAGTGGACATTCCAAAATTTTGAAGTTTTGGTCCAATTACAATAATTTTGTCTTAAAGAAATGTAAATGCATGGCATTTTCTCCCTCCTTTTTTACATATTTTAGATGTAACTTTCGGAAGAAGGAAATCCATTCCTTTCATAAATTATTTGCCGGATGAAAATGATTCTCTCTGGTTTGCCAAAAATCTAGCTCATACAAGAAGGAACTTGAAAAAAAATGGAATTCTACATAACTTTCTCCCGGCCATACACCATTCCTTTTGTAAAATGTTTGTTTGCAGGATGGAAATGATTCTTCACTGGATTTGCCATGGGTCTTGTTATACACCAAGGAACTTGAAGAGTAATGGGGTTCTACAGAAATTTCTCCAGGCCATACACTAGATGCTGCCACAATGATAAAGACCATAAGTTTACTTTCGTGATGTACTGAGCAGAATGCTTGAAGGAATATATAATATGCATTCTGCAACGCACTCCGTTACCTTTAGTCGGACAACCTTTCTAATAGCCAAGAGTAGGCCTGGCATGAGGCACTGCACATCTGTGATATCATGTTTGATGGTGTAGACCTGTGTCCAGCAGAGAAGCGCTTTTGGATTGGAGAGGTAACAAATAAATTATCATAGCTGTTGCTTTTTAATAAAATCAACTGGGGGGGGGGGTTCAATTCTAGAAAGCATACCTCCCCTGGTCCAGAGAAGTAAACTGTTGTGCTAGATGGAAGCCCAGGAAGGACCATGCTATGAACACGCACCCCGTCTTCACCTAGGACTTGACCCCTTGCCTTACAAAAGGGAAAAAGCAAAAAGTGAGCTACCTTGTCATGAATTAGAACCAGAGTGAACGCTGTAGATTATATGTGCTTCTGTTGATTCTTTTGTTAACCAGAATTCTCTTAAATTAAAATCTATATCTCTAGTTCTTTCTTGTATGGAACCAATCAGTGCAACCCAGATGATCAATGTGATTAAATTTCATATGCTTTTTTAGTAACTCTATATGGCAGTTACTGCAATATTGTATCTGACAAGATAGGTACCAAAAACTTGTGTAAGGTTTCTTTTGCTTCATTTATTTAAATTTCACTCCATTTTAGGTCTTTCCTTACTCTCTACTTGCCATCAGCTAGATAGAAGAAAGATGATAATAGAAGTCCAATTCAATTTTTTACATTCTGGCTCTACCATCTTTTTCTGTATCTATGCTTTACCAAAACATCGGTTGAAAGGTCTTCTCTGTTGTAGATCTGACCAAGATTTGAGAGGTTGTTGGCGATCTGGACAGCATCTGGTGAAGGAAGATCCTGTGATCAATGACAAGTTTAGCATCTTATGAGATCATCTACAAGGTACATGTATCTTGGGATTATGTAGACTTAGTTGTCAAAGCATACATGCAAATTCTATTCACTGCATTCACATACTTACATTGTACCACACATTCACATACATCCATGGGAACTGCATCTCAAACATTTTATAATATAAAAACCCTAATATAACTTGTAGCTTACTGTTGCATGAGCTCTTGATTCAACAATTTCTACATTATTGTAGTGGAAGGAAGCTTGAATGGCGGCTTGCTGGAGGAGAATGGATCCTATGGATAGAGTTGGTGCAACTAGGCAACCCTAAAATATTTCAATGGAATTTAGTAAGTTATTTGGTGGAGATACAACTATCATACAATAATAGGTGTAACTGTGCAAATTAAAGCAGTATAAAGGCATTTTGGAATTAAGTCGACACTGAAATATATCTCACCCTGCCCTCACCATGCTGGCTTTCTCGCAAAATGCAGATAATGCTGATATTGTGTCAGCCTTTATTCGAGGCACATAAACCACACTTTTCAGACCAAATGCTGTTGCCTATGGGAAGTGGAAAAGATAAATTTTTATCAGTTATTTAACATTTAGAATGGCTAATTTTCAGTTATTCACGTATGATTTTCAGTGTAGATACTAAACCTGTTTTACATTGTCGTAAACTGCTGAAGGTTGAGTAAAATCGATGACGACTCCTGTTTCTTTTGACTGAGAGAATTCATTGAGATCAAAATGGTATGGTATCAAAGGTGAATGTTCTGTTAATGTCAACTTAGAAAGATATTGGAATCGAAATGTTACCTGAGATATCGAACCTAAAACCATAGTGAGATCATTCATGATTGGAATCTCTAAAGGCTCTTTCATATCACACACCTAGTGTAGAAAACGAAACCATTTCAAGTCGAATTTTATAGGCAAGCGATCATTGAGGGGGTTAAAAGTGCATGGAGAACAGGAATGAATGAACTTTAAACCTTTCCTATATCTTCTCCCACACAATAGGAATCCACTGCACCAGCCACCTCCATTCCTCTAGCTTTAGTCACTGCAATTACTGCAGCCCTTCCTATTTCCTTTGCTGCTCCATTTATAACAACCTGTTTCCCGGAAATCGGGAATAAACTGCTTTTTAATTACTTTGAATAGTTATCCAGGGAATTTTTTGAACAGGTAATAAACCATTACCTTAATATTGCTTTGAGAGGGTTGCACTGAGCAGGAGAAGGATGGCCTCACTCTGCTGGCATTGCCAGGAAGTCGACGGATAGCAAGATGTAAGTGGCAGCTCAACGTCGCCATGGATGTTCTTTGTTATCTTTAGCTGCTGACCCTTTTTAGCTGATAAGTGATAACGGTGAAACCTTGTTTTGGTTCCACGGATAAGGTTTTTATGGACGGTATTGCATAATAGCGACATGGTTGTCTCAGCAATATGCTAAGTAGTGTTTTTCTTTACTCTTTTAAGAATCATATGATCTGGTGGCATAAAACTTCACTGCTTATTTGTAATTTTATCACGAGATCAATATTTGATTAATCCAACCTCCAAACCCAAGTTGTAAATAATAATGACCGAGAGAGTCATCCCTTTAATTTTATAGAAGCTCACTAATTTTATTTAAAAATAGAAAATATCCAAATTATAATGAAGGTTTACAGTCACAATCGTAAACTAAACCTATAATAAAGATATTTTCCTAAACACAAGGAAAATGTTAAAAAAGATAACCAAATAAACTCGAACAAAAGTAGATACGAACAGATCTGATTGTATCAGCAAACAAACCACAAAAAGGGATGTAATTATTAAAAGATCATCGACACACCGTAAATCAAATTTGAGCAACATGAAAATACTATCTACGAACGCAAATCGCATATCCAAATTCAATCCGAAGGTCCAAAGCAAGGAAGATCATAATGATAATAAAGAAGAGACATCTTGATCAATCATGACAATGTCAACTTCAATCCTGAAAAAAAAAATAAACGAAAACAACTGTCAAACGATTGAAAATGTGTCATAAAGATAGAAGAAGACGTGCCATAAAACCAGAGAAAAACGTGTTACAAAGGAAGATTCATTAAAAATAAAAAACAAGAAAAAAAATAAAGATTAAATATAGGCGAATCCATGGAAGGTCATCATTGACTAGTTTTTTGTTTTTGAAATAGTATAACTTTTTTTTAACTTAGTCCAATGCAATGTATGTGCAACTTAAGATAATCCACTTACTTAGGGACCATAAATATACAAATACGACGATCTAGAGTAATAACAAAAAATATTACGATATTAGAGAATTTTAATAAAAAAAAGAGATCTAATCTAAAAGATCTTTTTCCTAAAACAAAGAATATCGACAATCGACGAACAACATTAAGACAAAATTTTGAAATTACTTTTAACTCTCAATGTTATATTTTTTTTGTTAAAATAACTTTTTTATTTATGAAAATCGTTATTTTTTACATGTATGTTTGATTGATGATGCAGTATAATGTCATGTAAATAAAAAAAATATATTTTTATTTGAAGTGAAGAAATTATAACTTACAAGTGGGAGACTCAAGGAGGACGCAAACTAGTAATCACTTGACCACTAGATCATATTAGAACACTGTTATACTATTGATAAAGACCATACGTAGATTAAATCGTGACAAAAATTAATTATATATATATAGATTATAATACAGGTTATAAAATAGGTTAAAGTACACAAATGGTCTCTTGACTATAATATATTATTTTGTTAAGTCCCTTAACTATTAAAAGTTACAAAATGGTCATCTGACTATACATTATGTTTCAAACTCATCCTTTTTGTTAAAAAATTAACAATTGTCTGAGTTGGACGTTAACATGCTAACTGAGATATGATACTCGTTTGAGATTATGAGATCAAATTTTCTCATATCTCAATTAGCAGGTTACTGACCAGCTTAGATTGTCGTTAATTTTTTAAGAGAAATTGACGAGTTTGAAACATAATGAATAGTCAGGTGACCATTTTATAATTTTTAAGAGTCGGGGACTCAACAAAGCAATATCCTATTGTCAGGGACCATTTATGTACTTTACCCTATAAAATAATATATATATTTATATAAATTAACATAAATTAAAAAACATTATAAGAATAACAAAGTAAATAATATTATAAAAAATCTAAATTAATTATTTTATCAAACTATGAGAGCCTATAATTAGGGATAGATGCATAATTTTATACTATGAGGCAAATTTATAATATTTTAAGAGACAAACTCATAAAATTTCGAAGGAACGTAAACAAATTATAAAGAAAAAATATACAGAAAATATCTATAATATACAAAAATTTGAAACTTTCAGGGAGACAAATATCCACCAATCCCCTCGGTCCATCACTACTTATAATCAACAATGATTCATAAAGAATGTGAAATTAGATAATTGTTCAGGTTTCAGGTCAGATCATGTCAGGTCAAATTATATATGGGTTATGTCATGTCAATTCAATGGTTGGACTTGAATTAGGTTGGGCCCGAGTGGACTCGAGTTCGAGTCACTTTCATGTTGATTTGAAATCAGATTCAGTTGGAGTTCGAATCGATTTAATTTCAACAGGTTAATATCAGTTTAGGTCTCGGGTATGAATCAATTAAATATCATGTTAATTCAGGTTTAGATGAACTTTAGGTAGTGTTTCGTTCAGATCGGGTCACGTTATTGATGAATAAAATTTAGGTCGGATCTTACAGGGTATAGATAGACTTTAGGTTATGTCATTTTTGGGTGAATTATTTTTCGTCTTTCATGAATGTTGAATTGTATAGGGTTCAATTTCATATAAAAATATAATTTTAAAGACTAAAGTAAACAAACATAAAATTACAAACTGAAATTTAAATAAATTAAACAAACATATGGATCAAATTAAAATAATTATAAAATGTGAAGATGAAACTAATATAAAAATAAGCTAAATTACATCCATTTAAAATGTTTTTGAACAAAAGGTTATAGGATTTGGAGATTATAATATAATTTATAAGGTTTGAAATAAAATTTATAATGTGATTTATAAGATTTGATGTAAATTATAAAAAGCAAAAATAATTATTAATTTAATAAAACTTTTGAATTTATTTATATATTACAATTTGTAAATATAAAAAATAAACATATTAATTTAGTGATCAAAATTAATCATATACCTTAAATAGTGAAGAATTCTTTTCTTCACACTATAATAGAATATTTATAATCTCACAACTTCATCAATTGCAACTTAGAAGTTAGGTAAATATCAAGTTGGATCAGTGTCAGATCGATTCAATAACAAGTTTGATCATTTATAAGCTTAGTCAATTACATGCCAGATTCATAACATGTTAGGTAGATACTATGTCAAATAATATCAGTTATTTACCATGTTAATCTCGAGTTCGAGTTCATATTAGGTCGGATGTAGGTCTGGTTCGATTATCATATTATTCAGCTTAGGTCATTCTCAGGTGGAGTGCAAGTCAGGTTCAGATCCAAAATAACCAGGTCCAACTTGAGTTCAATTTAACACTAATTCAAAGTTCAGACTCGAATCGATTTCGGGTCATCACCATCTCGAATAACAAACAATTCTAACTCAAAAACGGTTTTAATTAATTTTTTACATCCATAACGATTCACGATCAATGGTGTCTCTTAGTTGGGCAGTAGAGGCCAAATGAGGATGTGGGTTTAATCGTAGAAGACAGGTAGCTAACAAAGCAAGAACAAAGATTAACGAAGAAGACAAAAGTCAAAAAAGGAAATCAATCGATCATTCTCTTAATCCCTTTGTCACAAAAACAAAATTAAACAACAGCCAAGTGTTGAAACCTTGTTTCTTCAGTTTAATTAATCACTCTGAAAATCTATCTTCAAAGTTATAATTCTAGAAAACATCCCAATTGAATCCTCATTGCAACAAAGACTTGTCATAGAATTTGGATCCATAAAATATATGTATTTTGTTTTGCTTTTTTTTTTTGTCCTCCTTCCAGTTCTAAAGTTCTATATTGACTAATTTGGACAGACATGCATCGTACACTTAATTTTGGTGAATGAGTTTCTCGATAGAGATTTTCTACATATACAATGACTCAAACTCAAAACCTTACATAAACGATATCAAGATGTTTATCACTTAAACCAACAATGAATATAGTATTTAGATAGGGACAAATAAAGGATAAGACTGTGAGATCAGGTAATTTTGTTAATTGAGCGGTTGAAACAAGACCTTTTACTTTGCTTTAGCTGTGAATTTACAAAGACTTCTATTTCAACAAAGTTGAATCCATAATTCTTGAGAATCTTAAATTTTATCGGTGAGAATTATTATTATTATTATTTGTTTCTAGTTATGAGTAAGTAAATTTATAAATATTAATTAATTCTTAATATTTTTATTTTATTTAGGGTAAACTACATAAATGGTCACTGATGTTTGAGTAAGTTTCTTTTTTTTCTCACTGATGTTTTAAAAGTAACAATTTGGTCATTGACGTTATCAATTTATAACAAATTGGTCTTTGGATGTTAATAGTTATTACTGGAGGTAACGAAATGTTGATGTTGCGTCGTTTGGCCACGCGGGACAACCACGTAGACCAACTATTTAACTCCAGTCCTCTCTGGTATGATTGATAACTCTCCAAAAGAGTATCATAGCATTTTTACTTAGGATAAACTTGTACTTTTAGCATGTTTAGGATCACATTTAGAGTAATTTTAGCATATTTTATATCATTTGCATATTGGGAGTGAGATGATATTTCTTGGGTTAATTTGCTGTGAATTTGTTACTTTGATGCTGTGACTTTGTCTGATGCTATAGGCGTTGCTGTGAGTCGATACGAGATAGAATTGCTGATTCGTTGTTGTAGCAATTTACACGTCACTTGGCAGTTAGAGAAATTTTAAGAATTAATTGTGTAATACCCTAATTTTGTTTGGACATTTTGAATCAGATTGAAGGAAATCGAGAATCAATTTGAAGATGTTGTATTGATGTCAAATTAATTCAAGGGGCACTGGTGGTGAAATTGGAAATTAGCTCATGGAATTCTCGCATTTGATTAGCGGGAGGATTGAAAAATGTTGGACATGTGATGGGTTTCAATCCTTAAGTATATTCATTTTGGGAGTTTAAAGCCCAAAATTTTAACCTTTAAATAAAGCCCAAATGTCTATTTACACACCCATATTATCACAAACTTTACCAATTACCCAAAAATAAATAAAACAAACCCAAAAGTCCAAGTCCATTTATATCCATTTGCTTAAACAAACAATCTACATAACCCACAACCAATGGCAAACCCAATTACAT